AGGAGGAGGAAGATGAGGAGGAGGAGGAGGAGGTTGGGAGCCGTCTTGGGCCTCCAGCGGCCTCACCAGGCCTCGGCCTCCAGGGCCCCACCTGGGGCCGCAGTGGCGTCCAGATTATTCCCGGGACCTCCAAGGACCTCTGCAGATCATGGGACAAGGGGTAGGAGGATGGGGAGGAGGAGGAGGAGGAGGAGGAGGAGGAGGAGGAGGAGCAGGAGGAGGAGGAAGAGGAGGAGGAGGAGAGGAAGGTGGAGGAGGATGAGGAGGAGGAGGAGCAGGATCATGATGATGAGGAGGAGGAGCAGGAGGAGGAGCAGGATGATGATGATGATGATGATGCTGATGCTGATGCTGATGATGATGATCTGTATGATGATGATGATGATGATGATGATGAGGAGGATGGTGATGAGGATGATGATGCTGATGATGATGATGCTGATGGTAGTGGTGATGATGATGACGATGATGATGATGATGGTGATGGTGATGATGATGATGATGATGCTGCTGATGATGATGCTGATGATGATGATGATGATGATGATGCTGATGATGATGGTGGTGGTGGTGATGATGATCATGCTGATGCTGATGCTGATGCTGGTGATGATGATGCTGATGATGTGATGATGATGTGATGATGATGATGCTGATGATGCTAATGCTGATGATGATGATGATGATGATGATGATGATGCTGCTGATGATGATGATGATGATGATGATGATGGTGGTGATGGTGATGGTGATGGTGATGCCGATGATGATGATGATGATGATGATGATGATAATTGTTATGATAATGATGATGACGATTATGATGACGATGATGATGATGCTGATGATGATGATGATGATGATGGATGATGGATGATGGATGATGATGATGAGGAGGAGGATGATGATGATGATGATGATGATGATGATGATGATGATGATGGTGATGCTGCTGATGCTGATGATGATGATGATGATGATGCTGATGCTGATGCTGATGATGCTGATGCTGGTGCTGATGCTAATGATGATGCTGATGTTGATGTTGCTGCTGCTGCTGCTGATGATGATGATGATGATGATGCTAATGATGAGTGAGGAGGAGGAGGAGGAGGAGGAGGAGGAGGAGGAGGAGGAGGAGGAGGAGGAGGAGGAGGAGGAGGGAGGAGGTAGGAGGAGGAGGAGGAGGAGGAGGAGGAGGAGGAGGAGGAGGAGGAGGAGGAGGAGGAGGAGGAGGAGGAGGAGGAGGAGGAGGAGGAGGAGGAGGAGGAGGCGGAGGAGGAGCAGAGGAGGAGGAGGAGGAGGAGGCGAGAGGAACCAAAAAGGGAGGAGGGAAGAAGGGGGGGGGGAAGGCAAAAATGAGGGAGGAGGAAGGGAGGAGGAGGGAGGAGGAGGAGGAGGAGGAGGAGGAGGAGGAGGAGGAGAGGAGGAGGAGGAGGAGGAGGAGGAGGGAGGAGCGGAGAGGAGGAGAGGAGGAGGAGGAGGAGGAGGAGGAGAGGAGGAGAGGAGGGAGAGGAGGAGAGGAGGAGGAGGAGGAGGAGGAGGAGGAGGAGGAGGAGGAAGGAGGAAGAGGAGGAGGAGGGAGGAGGAGGAGGATGAGGGAGAGGAGGAGGAGGAGGAGGAGGAGGAGGAGGAGGAGGAGGAGGAGAGAGGGAGGAGGAGAGGGAAGGAGGGGAGGAGGAGGAGGAGGAGGAGGAGGAGGAGGAGAGGAGGAGGAGGCGGAGGATGGAGGAGGAGGAGGAGGAGGAGGAGGGGAGCAGGAGGAGGAGGAGGATGAGGAGGAGGAGGAGGAGAATGGAGGAGGAGGAGGAGGAGGAGGTTGCTTAGGAGGAGGTCCAGGGGAGAACCAGCTACTGGGGCGTTGCGGTGCCCTTTCTCCTGGTGCTGGTGCTGGAGGAGATCAGTGGGCGTGGGCGTGCCACAGACTGCGTTCGCCGCAGGAGGAGGAGTAGGAGCAGGATCAGGAGGAAGAGGAGGATCATATCTCCTCCCCAGCTCCTGCGCAGCATGGCGAACGAGTGCTATGTGCCCAGCCGTTCTGGCACAAGTTAATGTGCGTGTTGACGGAATTTTCACCGTGGCAGGAGGAGGATGGAGGAGGACGACGACGAGGAGGAGGAAGAGGAGGAGGAGGAGGAGGAGGAGGAGGAGGAGGAGGAGCAGGAGCAGGAGCAGGAGCAGGAGCAGGAGCAGGAGGAGGAGGAGGGGGAGGAGCAGGATGAGGAGGAGGAGGAGGAGCAGGAGGAACAGGACCAGGGGGAGGTACGTGGCAGTGCCATTACTCCTGCTGCTGGTGCTCGAGGATGTCAGCTGTCGTCGGCGCGCCACAGAATGTGTTCGCATCAGGAGGGGGAGAAGGAGGAGAAGGAGGAGGAGGAGGAAGAGGAGGAGGAGGGCCGCATCTCCTCCCTACGTCCCGCGCAGCGTGGCGAGCGTATGCTCTGTGTCCTCTCGGCTTGGCATCCTCTGATTGCGTTTCTTGCGCCGTGTTTGCATCTTGCTGCGCTCGCTGTGTTCAAATTGTTGCGCGTTGCGCTTGAACCGGTCAAGTTTTGCGAGTTCGTCGTCGCGCAGGCGCTGCGATTTCTCGCGTCGAAGCCCGCCCCCCAACGAGGAAAAAGGACCAGAATGACCCCCGCATGCGTCAGCGATGCTGCAGGGTACCTTCCCGTCCCAAGGCCTGTCGTCTGACGTTCGCACGCTTTCCTCACTTGACTGCAGAAAGCCCCGTATCTGAAATACCAGCGCCTTAGAGGTCTACCTTGCTATTCATGAAGGAGCCTCGCGTTGAACGGGCGCGGAACGCGAGAAAACACGCCGCTGAACGAGGTGTCTATGGACATGGACATGGAACTAATGCCAGGAACCGAAATTCTGGTAGCCCAAGGAACAAGGGTGATCGCTCTCAACGGGCCTCGGCCCTCAGTTTTTCGGAGCGCTTGGAGGCGGCCGCGATGCTTCCGTTTTGAAAGTGGACCGCCCCCCATGGTTGTAATGATTGCGTATGCTTGAACTTCTGGTCATGCATTCTTATCATATGTTTGCAAATTGCCCGCCGCGCGTGCATGTTCAGTCTTCGGGTTTTGCAATTTGAGGGCGTCCCAGGCGATATTCCAAGAAAAAGGAATCGCCATCAACCCCGGTGCGCTTTGAGCGTTTCAAGGCACATCAGCGTGGCGCTCAGGCGAGAACCCCAATCAGAAAACGAAGCGCCCTGTGACACGTGCGAGCTTTAACTAACGTGCGCGGCGCTAAGCCGAGGCCCCTGTTTGACAAGGGGGCGCCCTCCATCCTTCTAACCGCTGCAAGCTTTTGGGTCGAATGTGCGCGGCTGTAATGCGGTAATTCCGTTTGGGATACGGCCCCAGTTCCGCCCGCGTGTTTTGTTAACCAGATGCTATGATGAACGCGCGCGCGGCGCTAGGGCCAGAGCCACGTTTTGAACCTATAGAAGATTTGTGTCACATTCTTGGAACCGCTGCAGTTTTTCAGACGAGTGCACGCGGTGCTAGGACATGGGCCTCATTTTGAAACCGGCCCCCTTTCAATGTGTGCAGTTGTTGTAAATTTTCGGGATCCGGATCATACGTGGTGACGAATGTTCAGTCGCAGCGCCTTGCCAAGCCTACCGACGCGTCTCGGGGTGCGACAGTTATCGAAAACAGAAGAGGATGGAAAAGAAGGAGGAGGAGGAGGAGGGGGAGGAAAAACAGTACGGAGGGACCGAGAGGAGTAGCTGGTTTCGAAGACCACGCTAGTCCTCCCCCTCCCTCTTAGTCCTCCCGTTTGATTGTCCTGTTGTCCACTGTCTTTCCTCCTCCTCCATCGTTTTTCGTCTCCTTTGTCCATCCTCCTCCACCTCCCCACCCATCCACCACCCTATACAGTTCATATCCGTCCATGTCCTATCTCTTCCTCCGAAATTGTCCCTTCGTATGCTTATTTGCCTGATTGTCCTCTTCTTCTCCTTAGTTGACCCCCCGCCTCTTTCTGCGGTTTCACATCGTTTTTTTTCCTCCGCTTCCGTCCACCATCCTCACTTTTCCTTTCTCCCTACTTCCTGTTTCTCCCATCCCCTCCCCCTGCCTTTTCCTCCACCTACCCCGCCCCTCCTCTCAGGTTTCCCCTGGAGTCTTTCCTGGCAGGCATTTCGAGGTGATTCCAGCAGTGGCCACGAGGGCATCCGCAGGAGGCCCCCCGAAGGCCCCGAGTCGTGGAAACATTTGGGCCGTCGATATCACCCCTCCCACCTCGTTGCGGGCGGGCGCAAGTGGTTCGACCACCGTCAGTCGACCCTCCATTTCACTCTGCGGCGCAGCCGTGCTGTCGTGATACGCAGTGCTTGAGGGTGGAGTTAAGAATGTTCGGTGCGCGGCCTCTCCCACGCGTCACGGCGCAGGTTCCGATCGTGAACGTGGAGGGCTGGGAGAGCTTCCAGTTGCTGGTGAACGGCGACTGGCGGAAGCGCCCCCCCTTCGTCCAGCCCTTCGGGGTTCTGCTTTGCTTTGTTTGATCGGCGCTTTTGAACAGCCGTACCAACCATGAAAGCAGCGACGTTGCATGCGCGGCAGAGCATCGTTGCTCGCGACGACGACGATGACGATGACGATAAGAGCAGCGATTTTGACCATCGTGCCAAGATTCGGGGGAAGCGTCCCTGTCGTCCAGCCCGTCGGGGCCCTTTCCGTCGAGGTTTTTGGGCAGATGTTCGGCTCTTTGAGAGCAGCTGCTGGCGGACGGCGACTGGAAGAGCCCCCTTCGTCCGGCCCATCGGGGTTCGAGGGCCGATGGCCGAGGCGTTTGGGCGTCTTTTTGGCTCTCGGAGGGCCTCGGGAGACTTCTGGGGAGACCTCCGCCACCAGAGCAGGCGCCATCGATTGTTCTCTTCCTCGCTCTATGTTTGTATCTCTCTCTCTCTCTCTTTTCTGGCTCTCTCTCTCGCCCTCCCTCTCTCTCCCTCTCGGGGACCCAGTGCATCCCCGTTGTAAACTCCACCTACGGACGGGGGCACCCGGCGACTACCCGAGTCTTGGAGACGCTTGCGAGGAGGGCTGCGCGGAAGCACGGCCTTCGCGATTACAGCGCTCTCCTGCGCGCGACGCGGGGGAACATTGGCGTGGATTTGGCGCGTCGCCATTCCAGCATGATCCTGGCGACGTTGGCCCAGCGCCGAAGCGACGCCACGGCCCTCATGCAGTGCAGGGGCAGCGGCGGCGGGGATGCGGGCGAGGGCGAGGCGCACGCGCCAGCCATCGTCGGCCCAGCTAACTGTGGAGGACCCGGCGTCGCCGACCTTCCTCCCCTCCTCCTCCCTCCTGCCTTCCTCCTCCTCCTCCCTCCTCCCTTCCACCAGCGCGGTGCAAATTTGAGTCTCTCGGTTCCAGATTTCCGAAGTTCCTTGTGCAGGAAGGAGGGCAGTGCGGGAGGTCCCCTCGAGCAGTCGGAAACTGCCTGGGCGACCCTCTGGCCCGAGTGTTCCCCACCTGCAGAGCGGGGAAGCAGCCTGCCGCTGCAGGCTACCCAAATCCCGCCTTGAGTCTCGCGCGCGCTGTCAGCATGTCGCGATGGGTGCTTCCAGGTGATGTCGAACAAGACGTTTCAATGGTTTCACTTGGTCGCACCGATTTGGGACAAACGTCCAGGCAATTATTGTCATGGGTAGCGCTTGCCTGTCCCAGCCGCGTGAGCCGAGTGCAGCATCGCGGATGCTATTGCGCGCTTGGCACGTGTGGCTACGTGTTTTTTTTGTCCAAGCCGTGTGTCGATGGGGAGGAGGAGGAGTAAGTGGAGGAGGAGGAAGACGAGGAGGAGGAAAAAATAGGAGAAACATGGGAAAGAGGATGAGCAGTAGCAGGCAGAAGGGAGGAGGAAAGACAAATAACAAGACTACCCGATGGAGGAGGGGAAGGAGATGGGGGAGGAGCAGTAGGGGAGGAGGAGGAAAAGAGAAGTGAGAAGGAGGGAGGAGGAGGAGAAAGAGGAGATAGAATAGGGAAAAGGAGGAGGAGAAGAGGAAGAGGCAGAGGGGGACGTGTGTAAGGGAGGGGGAGCAGGAGGCAGGAGAGGAGGAGGAGAGGAGGAGGAAGAGGAGGATGAGGAGGAGGAGGAGAAAGAGGAGAAAGTGGAAAAGGGAGGAGGAAGAGGAAGAGGCAGAGGAGGACGTGTGTAAGGGAGGGGGAGCAGGAGCAGGAGCAGGAGGAGGAGGAGGAGGAAGAGGAGGAGGAGGAGGAGGAGGAGGAGGAGGAGCAGCAGCAGGAGCAGGAGCCGGAGCAGGAGCAGGGCAGGAGGGAGGGCCACAGAGGGCCAGGTTGGGCGCGCAGCCTCTCTCCCCGCGGCCTTTTCGGCTGATGCCCCATTTGCCCTCCTTGCATTAAGTCGGGCCTGTCCCTCTACAGGGGGAATATTCAAAACTAGTCGAAAAATAGTCTGGGGACTATGATACCGGAAAAAAACCCAATCATCATATTTTTAGGGTTGTAGGGCTATGGGGCTATACGGTTATAGGACCATAGGGCTAGGGCTATAGGACTATAGGGCTATAGGAACATAGGGCTATAGGGCTATAGGGCTACAAGGCAATGAAGCTATAGGGCTATTGGCCTATAAGGGCTATAGGGCTGTAGGGCTATAGGGCGATTGGGCTATAGGGCATAAGGGCTATAGGGATATTAGGGCTATAGGGCTATAGGGCTATAGGTCTATAGGTCTATACGGATATAGGGCTGAGAACTATAGGGCTATAGGGTGATAGAGCACCCGGGCACCTCCGGGCACCCCTGCGCACCTCCGGGCATCCCCGGGCCCCCGGGCCCCCGGGCCCCCCCAGGTTTCCGGGCACCCAGGCACCCCTGTGCACCCGGGCACCCGGGCGTGCGGCGAAAATCGGCGGCAAACTGAACCTAACCATGTGAATCCGTTAGGACCCTTACAGAGGCAAGCTCTGATTGAAGATTTTTTGAGTATTTTTGGACAATTTGGGGGTATTTTTGGGGTATGTTTCATTTTTCGTTCAAAATCCCCCTGTAGGGGGACACGCCCGACTTAAGCCTTGCACGATAGGCCGTCAGAGGTAGTCCTGGCGCTGCCAGCACGAGTGGTGGGAGCACACCACCACCATGAACAAACACGCGGGAGTACGTCGCCTGCGAGATGTGCAGCCGCTGGAAGTGGACGGACAAACTCAAGAAGGACCCGCTCTGCATGTGTGGGCATCAGCTGGGCTTCCTGCCTGCTCGCACGTTGACGAGCCGCGGTGCACCTTCCGTCAGCTCTTCGACCTGGTGGCCAAAGCGGGCCATCAGCTCATTCCACGGGCAACCGAGGCCATGCAGGCCAACGTGGCTGCCGCGTCCGCTCCCGCACCCAAGGACTTGCCTGCTACATTCCAGTTTCGTCATAGCGCCGGTGGGGGCACAGCCAAGCATGCCGCATCAGCAGATCAGCAAGTCCGGGACCTCGAGGCTCAAGTGATCAAGACACCCAGGCCGCGGAGGCTCTCGCGCAGGCCAGGGCCATGGCTGCAGCAGCACGTCGAGACTATGCGACAGCTGCAAACCAGCATGGCGAACATGAGGGAAATGATGAGACCAATGCCACAGGCATCCGACCCCAGCGACATGGGTGACATCTGCCCTGAGAACAACAACGAGATGCGCGGCCTCGTCCAGGGCCGACCCGAGTTCCAGCGCCTTCACCAGAAGGTCGAGAATCAAACAGCAAAGCGAGCCCGACGGGCTGGTGCAGTTCATCCAGACGATCCAGCTGCCGCAGGCCCTGCCCCGCCTCAGCAGCATGCGCCTGGTGGGCCGCGAGCTGATGCAGACGTTCGCGCAGCAGGTGCAGGAGCGGCAGCGGCGGCACCAGCTGCAGCTGCCAACGGCGTTCCACCTCCGCCGCCAGGACAGCCGCCGCAGTTCGGGCAGCGGAGACAGCATCAATGCACACTTAGGCACTATTGCTACATGGGGGAGGAAGGCTGAGGATTTCCTTTAAAGAGGGACACCGAGGGCATCCAGAAAGCTGATGCTTGTTGGTATATGTATTTTATTGTGGTTCTTCAGTTTGGCGGGGACTTGCCGGGGCTTCGGGGAAAGATGGAGAGGTATTCCTGCAGCGCGTCCAGCGCTGCCAGCGACAAGGGGGAACTCACGGCGGCGTCTCGGTCGGGGCTAAGATGCAGTTTCACGCGCGAGCTCGTTTCATGGGGGCGCGAGGCGAGACAGACCGTCGGTCGCGGGACCACAATGGCCTTGTTACGTCTTGAGGCTCCAGGGGATCGATCTGATCCTGGGTGCATATCCCTGGGGCCCCACGGGGTGCACGGGGGCCAAAGTTGTCATCGTCCGCGAGGTGTTCACCTTCGTCGAGGTGACGCGCATGCCGCTCATCCTCAGGGTTGGTTTTCAACGTGTCGCTTGGCCCTCGATGACACAGGTAGACTGCGTCGGATCAATGGCGGGATTCCGCTGGCTGATATCCCGCGCGCCAGCCGCGACGGGGAAACCGCGATCGACTTCTTCGTCGTCGATGCGCGCCTCTCCTTGGGGGCCGAGGTTACCGGAGACCTCGATGGGGCCATGGGCGCCCCGCGTTCCGCTTTAGCTAGCGTTCAAAAGCGAGATCCTCACCGGGCAGATCTGGGCCCTCCGGAAGTACCCGCCGCTCCTGAAGGCCCCGGGGCCCCGTCGTGAATGGGGCCACAATTTCAAGCAGGTTGTCTTGGAGATCGGTGAGATTAAAGTCCCGCGTCGCCCGGTTTGTCGCGAGCGCCGCCGCTCCGGCCCCAAGTGACTCGCGCGGCCAGCTGTGCCGAGGAGTGGGGCCCCAGCAGAAAGATATTGCGGGCGTCGCTACTTCCTCGACTCGGGGCGCTTGCCCGAGCTTCGCCCGGAGACAGCTCTTGCCGCTGGCGCCCAAGAAAGGTCGCCCCGATTCGCTATCGCGCCAGGTATCGACCTTGATAATGAGAACTCAAGAGCGAGATGGGACTTAAGATATGCGCGTTTTTTTGGGGGGTGGGGTTCTCCGGGGGTGGCTCCAGACGTCTGCCGCCAGCATTCGGGGGGGGAAGTTGCCGGGGCCAGATCCCCCATGCGCTGATGAGGAAGTCATGAATCAGTGTTTAGCAGGCTCAGACGACGACGCCATAGTTGCGAGGGCCATCCAGCGCCGAGATTCCACCCAGCGCAAGCGCCACCTTGAGGAGCTCAAGAAGTCTCGGGAGGTTTTCCAGGATTTCCTGAATGATTCCCCGATGCACGGCGGAGCGGCGGCCCGCGACCGCGCCGGGGCCTCGTCGGACCTCCCTGAGCCCCTCGACTCGCGCGTCAACGTCGAAAGCCGCGTCTTCGCGGACCTCGGGAAGGTTGTGGGTCGCGAGATGGATTACGGGCTCCAAAACATGGGGCCCCGAAGGGCTTCGCCACCCAGCCCCTTGTTGAGCCCTGCAGGATGTTCTATACCAAAAAGTAAGCCCGTGAATCTTGGGAATGGGATTGCGACCCGTGGAATGTCGCAGAAACATTTGAAGCCGTCGCTCTGCGCTCACCCTCAGAGGCTCCTGGCGGAGACAGCTGGAGCGTGAGAGACTTCCTCCGCCCCCCGCCCGAGGGGCGATTGCTGTTCGCGACGCTTCTCAATTCAATAGCCGCCCAGGTGCAAGTCCCGGTTCAGGTTTTGCTCAGCCGCGTCCTTCCGCGGCCCGAGACTGCCGAGCGCGACGGGCCGCTCGCCTTGACCCGCGGCCTGCGCCAAGTAGCGCGCAATATGTTCAGATCAGAGCTGCCCAGTTGGAGCGCGGCCGAGGCAGGATTCTGGGACCGTGTTCTCCGAGGAAACGAACCTCCTAGCGCAGCTGTCTTTTCTGAAATGGCGACTGGGATCGCGGGCGCCGGGGGTGCCCCGGCGACTGGGGCCCCCCTGGCTATCGAGAAGCCTTTCGATGCCGCATGCGTCCAGGTTTGTGCCGCGACGGCCATGGAATTCGACGGCGCCGAACCGCCCCTTGCCCTGGCCCTGGTCGCCCACGAAGCTACTCGGACACCAGCGTCGGGTCTGGGGCATTCTAAATTTGGGATTTCAGAAGACTTTGTAGGGCTGCGGGCAGAGCCGTTCGCTGGCGCGTCCTTTTCTGCGCGACATCCTGCGCGATTTTCACTGCGGGTTCAAGCATTTGACGTTGCGCGCCTGGGCGGGGGCCTCAGGGCGCGCGCGCGGGCCTCGGGGGAAGCCATCAGAGAGCAGCCCCCGTCGGCGATTGTCCGCCTCGCGTCGCCCAGGCAGGCTGTAGATTTCCCCCAGAAAATTGAATCATAGCGCCCTCGGGGCCGCCCGCTTCGGGCGTGGCCTCGGGGCTGCAAGACCAGGGGATCCAGGCGCCGGTTCGGCAAGATGGTCGCAACCTCGGGCGCGACGCTACTCTTCGGGGAAATCACGGGACCGGGCGCGGGTCGAGGCCTCGCGAAGAAAGGGCGCAGGAGACTAGCAGACAGCAGCAAGCGCGTTCGTGGCCGGCGCTGCCCGCGAGCCTTCGTTTCGACTGGCGGGCCCGCGGCGCCGCCCTAACCCAGCTGCAACTGCAGGCCCGGCCACGCCGAGAATTCAGGTTGCACGGCGACTGCCGATGCATCAAATCCGAGGAGCGCTATGGAAATTGATCCTGGATATTATATGCGCTGCGGCTGCTTTCGGATGAGGTCTGGTACTTTCGCCTCGGAAGCGCTTCTCCATGACCGAGCGGATTTGCAGGGCCTGGAGGACTGCGTGGGGCAGATTTCGCAACGAGGAGTGGAGGTGGAATATGGTGGCGCCCCTCTTCTCGGCAGTTGTAGCTGCGCTTCGCGGTTTCGGCCGCGCGGCGCGCGCCGTCTGGGCGCGGGCCAGCCCTGGCATGAGATCGCTTAAGATCGGGCCCGTCGCAACGATGACCAATCAGCCTTCTCGCGGGAGCTCGCCCAGTGCATTCTGCTTGCACGCTGGGCCCAGGCTGCAGATTATATCATTGCGGAACAGGTGCCGGGCGGAGACGAGGAGAAGCTGGGGGCGCCCATCTCACGCCCGCTGCCCGCGCTGCTGCCAGCGGATAGGCACGGCGTGGGGAGGGCGGGAACGAGGGGGGATGATGCGCTGAAATGCTGGAGGTGCGGGGGAGACAAGGAGTTCTGCTCTGCGCCGTTACTGGGCCAGCCCTGCTCTTGCAACCATCGCTCCCCAGTTTCCAGCCACCAAGCAGTCTCGGCACCTCGTCCAACGAGCAGTCGATGAGAGCCCAGCGAACAGCATCAAGTGGTTGCGAGGGCCACAGCCTCAAGAGCATATTATAGATGCCATGGCGCCAGCATCGCAGAGCGGATTTCCTTCGGAAAACGATGGGATGGACCCGGATTGCCCTGGGGAGTTTCGTATCGGAGTTCGAACTGCATGTCTGGCTGATGCAGTAAACCAGGAATGCAGACCACAAGAAATCCGCGTGGAATTCACTTGCTTTTTCGCTCGCCGTTTCGGAGGTCAGGGTCTATCTATCCTACCTTCTATGCGGTTTACGAGGGGCTGATGCTGTCGCTGCCAGGGCCGCCAAGTTTTCTGTGATTCCAGAAGAGATTCTCCAGCATCGTCAGATTCAGGATGACGAAATGAACCTAGTAGTGAAACGCCTAGCCTGCATTCAAGATCTCGCCTGGAGGGAGGGCCCCAAGTTGTCGGATTTCAAGGTCCCCAAGGGAGCCCGTATCAGGAGGCCCCGCAAGGTCCACATGACCCCCCACCGGTAGGACAGGCATGACGATGCGATTCAATGTACAAGCGGCGCCGAAGTAGGAATGTTTGGAATAGCCCTGGTGGATCAATGAGCCACGCTGCCCCGCCTATCGCCTTTTTTTCCATACTCGTGAACCGCACAAACCACATGTGCGTGTGTTGCGTGGAATCATTCTGTGCTCGAGATGTGGCGGGTGGAGCGGGTGTAGGAGTAAGAAGCTCCGTGCCCCGCGCCTCCCCCCGTTATGGGGAGAGGACGCAAGGCCGTCCAACGTTTCCTCCATCACGAGCGGCCGCAGGTGCTGCTCAGCTGGCCGACGAGCGATTTCGCTTACTTTTGCGAGTGGACTGCGTGCGCGGCTTGCGCCGCCTCCCTCTTCTAGGGTCGGCCAGAGCGGACCTTTGGCGCGCGAGGACAGGCCCGCATTGCTGGCACCTGGCGCCTGGATGGGGGAGGAGGAGGAGGAGGAGGAGGAGGAGGAGGAGGAGGAGGAGGAGGAGGAGGAGGAGGAGGAGGAAAAGGGGGTTGGTTGCGGTTTTTGCCCGTCGCCGCTTCCCACCCAGCCCGCGCAGGTGCCTGCACCCGGATAGGGCCGACGGTAACTTGCACCAGCCCCACCGCCTCCTCGGGCCCGACGACCGCGGGCACGGCGATCGGGAGGGAAACCGTTCGACCAATCAGGGCGTCCACGTTGCCACTTTGGAGCCTTCCTACCCCATGCCGTCCTCCCACTACGTACACTCAGTGGAGGAAGGTCGCGGGCGAGTGGAATCTCAAAGTGCACAGGGTAAGCGGTGGGACGGTTTTCTGGCCAAGTGGCAAAACGGTGCGGCTATAAAAGGGGTCCTTGTCGCGTTCTTCGCTCGCGGAGGAGAGGAGGAGAGCTGAAGATGAGGACTGGAGAGTGGGCGGAGGGCGAGGGGAAGACACGGGCATGCTCCCGCATTGGCGTCTTCCTCCTTTCCATTTGTTTCATTATCCTCCCTCCCGCACGCGCTCAAACGCGCGCGCGCGCGCGGAATGCGCATCTACAAAGAAGCAGCTGGTGCAGGCACGCCCCTGGCGTCCACCGGCGCAACGCGTCTCAGGCTTTAGGGCCTCCTTAATCATGACAGTGTTGACCAGGAGTTTGAACATTCCGCTTGGTGAGAGCGACGCACGGATAATGTTTTACGGCCGCAATTTTCTCGGGCGCGCCAACTTCTTGGTTTACCAAAGTCCTTGCTTGCATGAGCGGGCTGACCGCTTTCAGGGCGAAACAGCACATCATGCTTGAACTACCAGCGCTCGCATTTAGTGCTTCGGGAGTTCCCATCATATATCTGAATACATATATATATAATGTATACACGGAAGAGGGGGAGGATGAGGATGATGAGGAGGAGGAGGAGGAGTAAAGGGAAGGGGAACGGGGGTTTGAATTTCTGCTGGAGGTCCTCGGGAGGGGGGTGGTTCTGGGAGGGAGTTCGTCCTCCTCCGCATCCTCCTCCTCCCCCTCCTCCCCCGCGTCCTCCGCGGCCTCTTTCCCCCCCCCGCCCGCTGGCCCAGGCAAGAACTGGAGCGTCGGCATGCACCCCCTGGAGCGTGCCGCCCCTGGAGACGTGTTCGAGGCCTCGATTGCGGAGGAGAGGAGTATGGGAAACGGGGGCTGGTGAAGGGGGGGTCACCGCCAGGAAGGAGAGTCAGGGAACCGCACACGTAAATCCAGGCGCGTGGATTAGCGACGGGGCCCGCTTCCATTCGGAGTCGGCGAGCTCCGTGGCCAAATCAGGCGGCACTGGGTGCATGTTTGTTTTTCCCCAACCATATTGTGGTGCTGGGTCTTCTTTTTGAATACGCATCGCCCCGCATGCCCTTCATCCCTCCCTCCTTTCCCTCCTCCTTCCTGCTCTCCGCATGTCCATTTGGGCACATCCATCGCAAGTTTCGTGGCCCCACAGGGAGCTCCTCAGAAGGCCCCCGCGGCACCGTCCACACGAAGGCGTCACGCCTATTTCGGCACACCCCTTACACGCTTCGTGGGCTCAAAGAGAGCTCTGAAGCACCGTCCACATGTGGGCATCGCGCCCGTTTCGCCGTTTCGGCACACCTGTCACACGTTTCTCGGCCTCATGGGGAGCTCCACCGAAGGCCCCAAGGGCAGTGTTCACATGTTGGCGTCACGCCCGTTTCAGTATACCCGTCACGCGTTTCTCGGCACCATATGGAGCTCCACCGAAGGTCCCAGAGGCATTGTCCACATGTGGGCATCACGGCCGTTTCGGCACACCCTTCACACGCTTCATGTCATCATGGGGAGCTCCACCGAAGGCCTCAGGGGAACCGTCCACATGTGGGCGTCACGTCCGTTCCCGTTTCGGCACACTTCTCACACGTTTCGTGGATCCTCATCCTCCAACGTACGGATGGGGAGAAGAGGGAAGGCAGCTAAGAAGGAATTATCCTTTGATCGTTTTTGGGGGGTTCTTGGGACAGTTGCAGGGATGAGAGGTGTTTTTTTTGTTTTGGGGGGACCTCTCAGGCTGGAGCCTGATGTTGAGTGTTTTTTGGGGGACCTCTCAGGCGGGAGCTGCCTTTTGAGTGAGTTGGTTTGAAACCTCTCAGGGGGGGAGCCTGAATTTCAATGTTTTTTCTCGGACCTCTCAGGCGGGAGCCTGCTTATGAGTGTTTTTTCGTTGTGACCTCTCAGGTGGGAGCTGCCTTTTAATTGAGTTGTTTGGGGTACCTCTCAGGCGGGAGCCTGATTATGTGTGCTTCTTTGTTGTGACCTATCAGGCGGAAGCTTCCTTTTTGAATGAGTTTTTGAAGGACCTCTCATGCGGTTTGAAAGTTTTGAACTGTGATGCTCGAGTGGCACAGGCAACGGCGCGACGACGACGGGGGGAGGACGAGGAGGAGGTGGGAGATGATACGGACGATGATGAGGAGGACAAAGAGGACTCTGATGAGGGCGGCGGGATATCCAGCAGCGGGAGGAGGAGAGCAGTGCTTCCTGCCCGTCCAGCGGCGATGACGGCGCCGACAGTGCTGAAGGCGGCGTGGGCCCCCCGAGTCCGAGGGAGGTCGCACGGCAGAGCTCGTGCAGTCTCATGCGTTGTTTCCTTCGCGTTGTGTCTTGCCCTCTCTTCCCTTGTCTATTTGTTCCTTCCTCCTCCATCCCTCTCATCCTCCTCCCTCTCCGCTGGGCGAGGAAAGAGGGGGTCCGGACGTCAGCTCGCGACGCCAATGCGGTTTTGGACGGGGCAGCACGCGGAGGGCGACGGAACTCACAGCACGTCTCGCCCGGCCCCCTCGGGCTCGTGAGGGACTCCCGCCGGGGCGCCGTCTGGCCCTACCCTTCCCCCCCTCCTCCGCCCTCCCATCCTCCCTTCTCTCATTCTCCCTCCTCTTCCTTCCACGCCCCTTATCCTCCCTCCTCGTCTGTCCTCCTTCCTCCTTCTTTTGGGGGGGTACCTTCCAGGCGGGAGTCTCCTCCTCATTGTTACTCCGGGTGCAATGCCCAACGCTTCGGGTGCAATGCCCAATTCTTTCGGGTACAATGCCCCATTCATCGGGCGCAATGCCCAACTCTTCGGGTGCACTGCCCAACTCTTCGGGTGCAGTGCCCAATGGCGCGGGTGCAATGCCCAACCCTTCGGGTACAATGCCCAATAGCGCGGGTGCAATGCCCATTTATTCGAGTGCAGTGCCCAATAGTGCAGGTGCAATTCCCATTGCGTCGGGTGCAGTGCCCAACTCTTCGGGTGCACACATCTGAAGCGAGATGGGCGGCCGTCGCACTCATCGGGCGTTGTTGCACGAGCGGCTGTCAGCTGAGCGTAGAGGAGTGCGATTAGATCATGTCGTGGGCACCCGTGCCAGGGAACGCAAGTGTTTGCTTTGTTTTGTGTGTGTAGCTGATACGCCTCTGGCTCCGGAAAATGCTAGCCGCATGCAGTCGTTTTCGGGCTCTATTTTCGCGCCGCGCATTACGTCGGTGTCCGAATTCTCACTTGATTGAGCGGGTGCGTTGTGGCTTCCGACAAAAATCTTTGTAATACATATATATATGTATATATATATATATATGCATTTGTTTGTTTTTTGTCTCTCTCTCTCTCTCCCTCATTCTCTCTCTCTCTCTCTCTCTCTATCTTCCTCCCTTTGATTTCAAAAAACATTGCAATGGCCCAGGCCCTCATGCGGGCTGGCGTCGGAGGAGGAGGAGGAGGAGAAACAGAGGGAAAAAAGGATGGTGACGATGAGGAGGAGGAGGAGGAGGAGGAGGAGGAGGAGGAGGAGGAGCAGAACGATGAGGAGGATGAGGAGGAGGAGGGGGAGGAGAAGGAGGAGGCCGCGCCCGCGCCGGCGACTCCCTGTCCCCCTTGCGCCCCGTCGTTTTCGCCGTAGCCGTCCTGCGCCGTCGCGCGTCGTCATCGTGCGCCCTCGAGCGTCGCCGTCGCCGCCGCCGCCGCCGTGCGCCGTCGTCGCGAGTCCTCGAGCGTCGCTGTCGCCGTCGCCTCCGCCGCCGCCGTGCGCCGTCGTGTGCCGTCTCCGCCGCCGCCTCCGCCGCCGCTGCCGTCGCTGCCGTCGTCGTCGTCGTCGTCGTCCTCGTTCTCGTCCTCGTCTTCGTTGTCGTCCTCGTCGTCGTCGTCGTCGTCGTCGTCGTCGTCGTCGTCGTCGTCGTCGTCGTCGCCGTCGTCGTCGTCATCGTCGTCGTCAACGTCGTCGTCAGCGTCAGCGTCGTCGTCGCCGTCGTCGTCCCCTCCTCGTCGTCGTCGTCCGTTCCTCGAGCGCCAGCGTCGTCGGCGCCGCCGCGCGCTGCGCCGTCCCCGGCCCGAGGTGCGGCTGCACTTGAAGCACGACGGTTCGGCCCACAGGGTGGACTGGGCCAGGCCGCCGCCAGCCGTCGGGGGCGGGGGCAACGGCAGGGGCAGAGATCATGTCGAGGAGTGGGCACTCGTCTACAGATTTAAGTCGGGCGTGTCCCCCTACCGGGGGATTTTGGGGAAAAAAATATAGCCGGAGTGCAGTATCCCCTAACAGGGTTTTTAGACCCACTGCGGTTTCCAAGGTCGATTGCGTGCCCGTCCAGTGCGGGCTGGCATGGCATGTTAAAACATCCTCCTCCTCCTCCTCCTCCTCCTCCTCCTCCTCCACCTCCTCCTCTTCATCCCGAACGGCATCTCGGAGCCCAGAGTTGCGAGGATGTCTCCAGCGTAACGGGCTGGACCACCTCGCGCGCGGCATTTCGGACCCCAGAGTTGCGACGATGTCTCGGGCGAAACGTGCTGCGAGGAAGTCTCAGGCGAAACGGGCCGGACCACCTCGAGCGCGGCGTCTCAGAGCTCCGAGTTGCGGGGGCCTCCTGGGCCTCCTGGGGCCTCCTGGGGACCTCCTGGGGCTTCCTCCTGGGCCTCCTGTGGCCTCCTGAACTCCACCTGGGGTTTCCTGAAGCCTCTTGGGGCTCCCAGGGGGGATATCTAACCTGTGGCCGCTTGGGCCCCTCAAAATACAGGGGGGCCACAAGAGCAGGAAAAATCAACGAATCGACACCGGATGTGAATTAACTTCACACGTTCTGATAGGGGGCCTCCTGGGGCCTCTTGGGAGCCTCCTGGGAATCTCCTGCGGACCCCTGGGGCCTGTCCTGGGCGTCCTGCGGCCTCCTGAAGCTCTCTGGGGCCTCCCCCTCCTCCTGCCTGCTCCCTCATGCACATCATCCGCCTCCTCCTTCTCCCTTCCATCCTCCTCCTCCTCCTCCTCCTCCTCCTCCTCCTCCTCCTCCACCTCCTCTTCATCCCGAACGGCATCTCGGAGCCTAGAGTTGCGAGGATGTCTCCAGCGTAACGGGCTGGACCACCTCGCGCGCGGCATCTCGAACCCCAGAGTTGCGACGATGTCTCGGGCGAAACGTGGTGCGAGGAAGTCTCAGGCGAAACGGGCCGGACCACCTCGAGCGCGGCGTCTCAGAGCTCCGAGTTGCGGGGGCCTCCTGGTGCCTCCTGGGGCCTCCTGGGGACCTCCTGGAGCTTCCTCCTGGGCCTCCTGTGGCCTCGTGAACTCCACCTGGGCTTTCCTGAAGCCTCTTGGGGCTCCCAGGGGGGATGTCTAACCTGTGGCCGTTTGGGCCTCTCCAAATGGAGGGGGGGCACAAGAGCAGGAAAAATCAACGAATCGACACGTTCTGATAGGCGGCCTCCTGGGGCCTCCTGGGAGCCTCCTGGGAATCTCCTGGAGACCCCTGGGGCCTGTCCTGGGCGTCCTGGTGCCTCCTGGGGCCTCCTGGGGACCTCCTGGAGCTCCTCCTGGGCCTCCTGTGGCCTCGTGAACTCCACCTGAGATTTCCTGAAGCATCTTGGGGCTCCCAGGGTGGATATCAAACCTGTGGCCGCTTGGGCCCCTCAAAATGGAGGGGGGGGCACAAGAGCAGGAAAAATCAACGAATCTACACCGGATGTGTATTAACTTGACACGTTCTGATAGAGGGCCTTCTGGGGCCTCCTGGGAGCCTCCTGGGAATCTCCTGGGGGCCCCTGGGGCCTGTCCTGGGCGTCCTGCGGCCTCCTGGACCTCTCTGGGGCCTCCTGAGGCTCGCAGGGTCCCATGGAGGATATGTAACATGTGGTCTTCTGGGCCCCCAGGCTGGACCACCTCTTGCGCAGCATCTGAGAGCTCAGAGTTGCGAGAATGTCTTGTGCGAAACAGGCCGGACCACCTTGCGCACGGCATCTCAGAGCTCAGAGTTGCAAGGATGTCTCAGGCGAGACGGGCCGGACCACCTCTCGCGCGGCATCTCCGAAGTCAGAGTTTCGAGGATGTCTCAGGCGAAACGGGCCGGACCACCTCGCGCAAGGCATCGCAGAGCTCAGAGTTTCGAGGATGTCTCAGGCGAAACGGCCCAGACCACCTCTCGCACGGCACCTCGGGGCTCAGAGTTTCGAGGATATCTCAAGCGAAACGGCCCGGACCACCTCTCGCGCGGCGTCCCGGAGCGCAGTTTTTCGAGGATGTCTCAGGCGAACCGGCCAATCCCGGCCAACTCAAAAACGAGAGTTGTGAGGATGTCTCAAGCGAAACGGCCAAAACCATACAATTTTTGTGAGGATGTCTCTGCTCCGCCTTCCCCCGGCCGGAGTTAGTTTCTATCACAACAGCACCCCGTTCAGCAAGCTGTTTTGGGAAAAATCGTGACGTCGGATGTCTGCGGAGGGCGGAAGGCAGTGCGCGCATGACGGATGCTGAGGCGCAGAAACGACGACGGCGGGGACGGGGAGGCGGAGGCAGAGGCGCAGCAGCGGGAGGCGGGAGGCGGGAGGAGGGAAGAGGAACCAGGCGGGAAGTGGGAAGAGGGAGGCGGGAGAAGGAATGAGAGAGGTTGTGATTGGAGCTCCTGTGCTACGAAACGTCTCAGGCAGAATGGGCCAGACCATCTCGCGCGCAACATCTTCGAGCCTCGCATTGCGAGGATGGCTCAATCGAAACGGGCTGGACCACCTCGCGAGCGACATCTTGGAGCTCAGTATTGGAAGGATGTCTCAAACGAAACGGGCCGGACAATCTTTCGCACACGTTTTGACAAGTCCACATCGCACTCGCTTCCCGTTAGGTCCTCTCCTGCAACTCCCTTCCTTCTCCCTCCTCCTCCTCCTCCTCCTCCTCCTCCTCCTCCTCCTCCTCCTCATGCACATCATCCGCCTCCTCCTTCTCCCTTCCATCTCCTTCTCCTTCTCCTCCTCCTCCTCCTCCTCCTCCTCCTCCTCCTCCTCCTCCTCTTCATCCCGAACGGCATCTCGGAGCCTAGAGTTGCGAGGATGTCTCCAGCGTAACGGGCTGGACCACCTCGCGCGCGGCATCTCGGACCCCAGAGTTGCGACGATTTCTCTGGCAAGCGTGCTGCGAGGAAGTCTCAGGCGAAACGGGCCGGACCACCTCGAGCGCGGCGTCTCAGAGCTCCAAGTTGCGGGGGCCTCCTGGTGCCTCCTGGGGCCTCCTGGGGACCTCCTGGGGCTTCCTCCTGGGCCTCCTGTGGCCTCCTGGGGTTTCCTGAAGCCTCTTGGGGCTCCCAGGGTGGATATCAAACCTGTGGCCGTTTGGGCCTCTCCAAATGGAGGGGGGGGGCACAAGAGCAGGAAAAATCAACGAATCTACACCAGATGTGTATTAACTTGACACGTTCTGATAGAGGGCCTCCTGGGGCCTCCTGGGAGCCTCCTGGGAATCTCCTGGGGGCCCCTGGGGCCTGTCCTGGGCGTCCTGCGGCCTCACCTCTCGCGCAGCATCTGAGAGCTCAGAGTTGCGAGAATGTCTTGTGCGAAACAAGCCGGACCACCTTGCGCACGGCATCTCAGGGCTCAGAGTTGCAAGGATGTCTCAGGCGAGACGGGCTGGACCACCTCGCGCAAGGCATCTCAGAGCTCAGAAGTTCGAGGATGTCTCAGGCGAAACGGGCCGGACCACCTCTCGCGCGGCATCTCCGAAGTCAGAGTTTCGAGGATGTCTCAGGCGAAACGGGCCAGACCACCTCGCGCAAGGCATCGCAGAGCTCAGAGTTTCGAGGATGTCTCAGGCGAAACGGCCCGGACCACCTCTCGCACGGCACCTCGGGGCTCAGATTTTTCGAGGATGTCTCAAGCGAAACGGCCCGGACCACCTCTCGCGCGGCGTCCCGGAGCGCAACTTTTCGACGAAACGGCAAATCCCGGCCAACTCAGAAACGAGAGTTGTGAGGATGTCTCAAGCGAAACGGCCAAAACCATAAAATTTGTGTGAGGATGTCTCTGCTCCGCGTTCCCTCGGACGGAGTTAGTTTCTATCACAACAGCACCCCGTTCAGCAAGCTGTTTGGGGGAGTAAAAATATTCCAAACATACCCCCAAAGTATTCAAAAATAGTAAAAAAATCGCCTCCAGACATTTTTTAAACATTATTTTTGGATATTCTCCCTGTAGAGGGACAGGCCCGACTTAACTATAGATGTGAGGCCCGCGCCTTCCAAGAAGCAGGGTGCTTCTAAGGAGAGCCTTTCCCCCCTCCTTCCTGCCCCCCCTGGTGCGCGCCGCCAGAATTTGGGTGAGGTCGAGGGTTGCAGGAAAGGTGCCCCACATTGGTCCTGAAGGGGGCTCCTCCTGGGTTCATTCCGACTCGATTCGATTTGATGTTGATGGATTCGGACTCCGATTCGACTTGGGGTTCCGATTTGGGTTTTGATTTCTTACTGCTTCTTGGACGCATACTAGCTAGCCGATTTCCGACGATTCGATTTGTCCTGGCTCGGCTGCCGATTTCCGCCAGTCCGACTCATTTCGATCGCCGACCCAACTCAACGATTCGACTCTGGGTTCTCCTGGGTGGAGGGGGTGTCAGGCTCAGGGGGGCCTACCTCCTGCGGCGGACTGGCGCCTTTTCGGAGGAAGGCCAGTCGAGACACCGGCGGTCCTCGCAGGGCGCTTGGCATCGCTCGGACGTGTGTTTCCTTCTTTTCTCGGCGAGGACCATCGAGGAGCATCTGTGATCATCAAGGGCTCCCACGATGGCGCGGAGTTATTCGCGCTTCGCGGTCCTCGTTCCTTCTCTCCCTCCTCCTCGTCCTCCGTTTCTCCCTTTGGGGGGGCGGCGCGAGAGCGCGCAGTTTTTCGCGCTTCGCGGAGCGCGAAGCGCGAAGTGGGGAGCCCTTGTACGCGCACGGGCGATGGGCGTCTGAGCGATGTCAAGGGCGCGCCTCGTGCTTTCTGGGCTGCCCCTGGAGCCTGGAGGCCTCATCGTCGCCGCGGCTGGATCCACCCAGAGAAAAAACGGTTCTGGTGGCCAGTTTGGGGCGGCGTTGTGTTGGGCGAGGGAGCCGCCGCCGCCACTCAGGGGAGCAGGAGGAAAGGGATGAGGAGGAGGAGGAGGAGGAGGAGGAGGTGGAGGAAAAGGAGGAGAAGGAGGAGGAGGAGGAGTGGGAGGGAGAAGGGGAGGGGGAGGGGGAGGAGGGGGAGGAAGGGGGAGGAGGGGGGGAGGAGGCAGGGGGCGAAAGGGTGCGCCGTGGTGGAGGATCGGCTCATGGGGGGACTGCATCGACACCGAAATACCCATTCATCCCCGATAGTCGAGAAAACGAACACATGTAATTATGCAGGCGCTTGGATTAGCGACGGGTCCCGCTTCCGCACAGAATCGGCGCGCTCCGTCGCCATGTGAGGCGGCATTGTCGCCATGTTTTGGGGAGTACTTTCCCCATCCGTGGATCTGGCGACCACTCGTCAGATCCACGGATCCCTAATCTGTGTGAGCGTGTGCCCATCCTGCCCAGGAACACTGTCGTAGATCCATCGTATCGCAGATTCAAGCTTGGGCTGTGCCCCCCTTATCGTTCCCCCACAGCCCTGGCCGGGGGCGAATACAGGAGTTCCGGATCTCCGAAGATTTGTTCTGCCAGTCCCAGTGTTTTCGTAGATTTTGGCCTTTGGAACCCGTTACCCAGCGCCAGATACGTCAAGTATGGACGCAGGCGAAAAAATATTTTCGGGGAGGGACCCCTAGGGCCGTGCAACGAAGTGACCAACCAAATCGTCGGATGTTCGGAATACAGATGTTGTTGCACACGGGATCGGAGGATCACGCCGCATCGCCAGTGCAGCCGCGATGCGGCGCGATACGGAGCCCGATCTTCCGAAGTCGCCGCTGCGTTGCCGATGTGGGCGGCGATACGGCGCGATCATCTGGCCCCATGTGCTCGGACCCCGTGTGTGGGCGGCCTCCAAGGATGGGGGAGGCGAAGAGGGAGGAGAAGGAGGAGGAGGAGGAGGAGGAACGGCAAAAGATAGCCTTGCCCGCCATCACGCCCGCTCCAGGGCGGCGGGGAGAACCGACGGCCGAGGCGCTGGACGGAGGGCTGCTTGGGGCTCGGGCGGGGGCTCTTGGCTTATGTCGGGCGCGTCCCCCTACAGGGGATCTGCGGCGAAGGATGATAAATACCCCACGGAGGTAAAACAACATGGTAAAAAATGGTGCCCACATGATTTTTGGACGACTGCTTCAAATATCTTTTTGGGGTATTCTTTAGTTTTCGTCGAACATCCCCCTGTGGGGGGACGGGCCCGACTTCACTCTTGGCCTCCCTGGGCACTCCCCGGAGCCGGATTCGGGGGACGGCCCGTGGCCGAGGCCCGCGGGGGCCTCTTCGCTGTCTGCTCGGCGCTCCTCGTGGCAGCACGAGGGCTGCATGCTCCCCCCCCTCCCTCCCCCCCCTCCTGCCTTCTCCGTCCCTCCTGCCTTCTCCGTCCCTCCTCCTCCTCCCTCCTCCTTCTCCTCCTCCTCCTCCTCCTTCTCCTCCTCCTCCTCCTCCTCCTCCTCCTCCTCCTCCTCCACACGTGGCAGCGCTCGGACGTCTGCTCGGCGCTCCTCGTGGTGGCACGAGGGCTGCATGCCCCCACGCGTGGCATCGCTCGGACGTGTGCACGTCTCCTTTCGGCGGCGGGCGCGGGGGGGAAATGAGAGGGGGCGGGACTTCCGAGGCTTCTGAGAAGTTTCCGGACTTCTGAGAGGGCTTCTGAGAAGTTCAGTCTGTGTTCGAAATAAGCTAAGGAGACCTCTCAGAAGTCCCCCGGACTTCTAAGAAGTCCCGCGGCCTTCTGATAAGGCCTGCTCCTTCTCATTTCCCCCCTGGGCCCGCTGCCGATCCTTCGGCGAGGACCATCGAGGAGCATCCTTGATCGTTTGGCGAAAAAGCCACGCACGAAACCGGCAAGAAGCACAGGGAATGGACGTCCGAGCGATGGCCAGTGGTAGCACGAGGGCTGCATGCCCCCGCAGTGGCGGGAGGGGGCATACCTGCTCCAGTCAACCCGCATGTCAAGGATGGGCAACCTTCCCAGGGGTACCCGTGCATCCTTGCCTCCTCGGTCCATCTTCGGCCATTCTCGTTGGCCGCGCCCCGCTCATAAAGCTTCGAAATGGCCTTCCAAGGCCCGTGCGCCCTCATTTTGCATCCTTTGAAGGAGAAAGAAACCACAAACATCAACTTTCGTCGCTCCGCGCAGATTTCTTGGATCCGCGCTGGGACCTCCCTGGCGCACTCCACGCGCCAGGGAGCCAGGGAGGGGTTCTAGCACAGATCCAAGAAATCAGTGCGGAGCGCCAAAAGTTTATGTTTACGCCGTTTCCTCTTCTCCTTCTTCTAGTTATGCCCCCTCACCCCCTCCTGACGCTGAAAGGGGCGGGGGGTCGTCCGCCTTCCAAGTTGTGGGTCCGCGCCAGCAATGCCAGCAATGGGTATGAAAGCTGCCAAGCATGACACCCTCCGGTCGCCGATCTCCGGGGGGGCGGCGGCGGGTGCGGATATAGTCGGGCTCCCAGGTGCCTTGAGATGTGCGCATCCACGGCCGACCCCCCCCCCGGGGGGTCCGTGGGCATGGCTCCCCAAGGAGAGGGGGCGGAGGGAGCACCCCCCTGCCGTCGATCTCCGGCGGGCGGCGGGTGCGGATATGGTTGTGGACGGCGATCAACGGAGAAGAAGCATGTTGCCAAATAGTTTCCAGATGCCTAACACATGTTTTGCACATGTCTTACACATGTTAAACAATGTTTCAAACATTTTTAGAACCTTTGTCCGACATTTTAAAAGACATGTTGAATTCAACAACAGGCTTGTTAGGGCGTCCATTGTCAAAGCGTCCACAAGGATATAGTCGGGCCTCCAGGTGCCCAAAGAAATCAATATTCACAGTCCCCCACCCCTGGGGTCATTGCACATGGCCCCCCCCCAGGTGGATGGATCACATCAGTTCCAGCCTCGAAGAGGACTCTTTGGGACTCTTTGTTAAGCACAGCATGCTGAGGAGAAGGTTAAGAAGAGAGGAGAGCCCAAGGGGGCCCGAACCCGCGGAAGAGGTCCTAATGGACTTCTCCCCCTGCCCTTCGCCCCCGTCAGCCTATCCAGGGAGGAGGATGAGTCTGAACCCAAGATGCATCAACGATGTTGCAATAAGCCCTTCCTCCAAGTTCCCTCTTCATAGGTTCCTGCGAGAGCTTGTTTTCATTGCGGGAAGTGGCCCCAAATGGGAGATGCCTGTTTGAGAACCAGGAATAGACAATAACATACCAGGCTTACATCATATATTTGATAGGATTCGGGCGCCCTTCTATTTCCTGAGTTATTTGGGGTCTTGAATCGTGCCGTAAAAACATGATTTGGACTGCAGCGCCGCGAATCAACGCGACCGTTGCATCGTGAGAATCCAGAAACGTGCCAGGACGTCATTCTTAGGCCTTCAGCTCCACGAATCCGCATGACTGATGCTTCCCGACAATTTTGAACTGGGCCAGAAAAATGTTTCTGGGAGTTCGAACTTAGGAATCCCTTCGGCTGCTGTAAATTTTGAAGACGGATGTGCGCGGCGCCAAGGCGAGAGCCACATTTTGCAATGGAGCCGACCTCCATATTGAAATTGCTGCGAACTTGTAAGCGCAACATGCGCGACGTTGAGGCGAGAGCTCCATTTCGAAAACGAATCGCCCTCCACTTTGGATACTGGTCCAAATTTTCAAGACGAACGCTCGCGGCGCAGAGGGCCAAGGCGAGGGCTCCATTTTGAAAGCGGCCCTCCCTCCATCTTTCAGATGATTGCAGGTTTCAAGCCAGGGCGGGACCTAAACGCTGTTTTACTGGACTTCGGCCGTGCTTTGTTTTTCGTTTTGGCATGGAGGTACAGGAAAACAGGTGCACGCCGGTCGTTGAAAGTAGGTGTTTTGGGATTCTCAGATCCCAATCTACTTCAAGCGCCTTCCCACTTCAAGAATCGGCATGATTTTGCTGTGTTTTGTTGTTCTCTGGGAGGGCCTGGACCCAATCCACTTTGTCCGTCTTCCTACTTCCGACCGACGTGTAGAGCACAACGAAGCACACATCGAAAACAAAACGAACAACAATTTTAGGTCCAGCCCTGTTTAAAGCTTCACCGTCATAGCTGGTGAGGGTTTCTCGGGCGAGACGCCCGGCCCTGCCTGCGGAAACACGTCAGGGGGTGCGACAGGGAGGAGAGACTGATAAGGAAAAGGAAAGGAGGAGGAGGAAGAGGAACATGAGAGAGGAGGATGAGGAGGAGGAGGAGGAGGAGGAGGAGGAGGAGGAGGAGGAGGAGGAGTGGGAGGAGGAGGATGACGAGATCTCAGTTCGCGTTGTGATTTCCCTATGTTCCTCTTTCCACGTGGCCGGCCGACATGAAACCGTCACTGCGATCGCAGCGTCACCCGGCCGCGTGTTTGCCTCCCCCTGCTCGTTCTCATCCCGCTCCTCTTCGACTTATTCCTTCTGCGCACCTCGTGCTCCTCCTGCTCCTCCTCCTCCTCCTTCCGTTCTCGTTCTGCTCCTCCTCCTCATCTCCCCCCTCGTCCTGGGATCCCCTATCGAACCTCCTGGAACCATTTCAACAGCGACTGTGGACACAATTCAAGTTTCGTGTCTCCGAGATTCTTATCCTTCCCCTGATCCCTCATCCTCGCCCTCCCCTTCCTCCTCTCCCACCTTCCCCTCGTGCCTTCCCCCCCCCTCCCCATTCTCTCCCCTCGCCCCTCCCCCTCCCCCTCGTCCCCCCTTGCTCCTCCTCCGATTCTGGCCCCCTCCGGCCCCATCCTCCCTGCTCGTTCTGAACCTCGTCCTCCTCCATTCCCTCTCCTTATAAATAACTCCTCCCTGTCTCACCCCGAGGCCAGTTTTTAGGGCGGGCTGGGCGTTTCGCCTGAGACTTCCCCACCATTTATGACTCTGAAGCTTACGAAATGCCAGCAGCTTCATAGATGGAGGGCGGGCCGTTTTCAAAATGTGGCTCTCGCCTTAGCGCCGCGCACATTCGTTTGCAAAGTTTGCAAGAGTTTCACGGATTGAGGGCGGGTGGCTTTCAAAATGAGGCTCTCGCCTTAGCGCCGCGCGCATTCGTTTTAAACACGTGCGAGAGCTTCACGGATTGATGGCGGGTGGTTTTCAAAATGTGGTTCTCGTTGTAGCGCCGCGCATTTTTTGTTGAGAAGTTGCAAGAATTTCACCGATTGAGGGCGTGTGTGTGGTTTTCAGAATGTGATTATTGCCTTAGTGCCGCGCGCATTCGGCTTAATAAATTGCAAGAGCTTCACGGATTGAGGGCGGGTGGTTTTCAAAATGTGGTTTTCGCTTTAGCGCCGCACAAATTCGTTGTAAACAATTGCAAGAGCTTCGCGGATTGAGGGCGGTTGGTTTTCAAATGTGGCTCTCGCCCTAGCGTCGCGCGTGGTTTTCAAAATGTGGTTCTCGCCTTGGCGCCGCGCGAATTTGATTTCAAATTTGCAAGAGCGTCGCGGATTGAAGGCGGTTGGTTTTCAAATTTTGGCTCTCGCTTTAGCGTCGCACACACTCGTTGTAAAAAATTAAGAGGCTCACGGATTTCCATGATTAACGTACCAGAAACGGTGTTTTGGAAGGAATCAGGATTTTGCGGGTGCAGCAGTTATGCTGATTCGCGCTGCTGAAGTCCCAAAAATGGCGTTCCGGCACGATTCCATATCGTCAGGACGCAGCAGTCAGGCTGATTCGTGGCGTGGAAATTCTGAGAACAATGTTTTGGCATGCTTCCAGGTCTTGAAACGGTTGTCTTCCAACGAGGCAGTTCCCTCAATGGAAATGAACCGTTGTAGGGACCTCTGAAGAGGGAGCTTGGAGGGAGGGTTAATCCCAACATCGCTGATGACCCTGGTGTTTACACTGGTCCTCCTCCTCTTCCTCCTCCTCCTCGTTCTTAACCTCGTCGTCGTCCTCGTCCTCCCGAGACACTCGACGCCGTGATCTATTCACAGCGTGGTCCTCAGAGGTCTCGGCCCCTTCCCAGGACCGGCCTCTCTCCCAGAGCAGATTTTTGACGGTGAGGCCAGAACCAGCCAACACCAATGGGCCTATTTTCCATCACCACCATCACCATAAGTTGGAGGGTGGAAGGAGATGGAGGACGAGGAGGAGGAGGACGAAAAAGAGGAGGAGGAGGAGGAGGAGGAGGAGGAGGAGGACCCCCTCCCCCTCAAACTTATGGTGGTGGTAGTGGAAAACAGGCCCATCAAACACCATTCCCGTCGCGTTTTTTGGTCCAAGGCGAAGGGGTTTGCCGGACCGGGCTGGGACAATCAATCCGTTCCAGAGCGTTTTGGAACGCTCTCAGAGCGTTTTGGGGCGCTCAGAAGGCCGCGGTGCCTGAGACATCTTCCAGAGCCGCCGTATCTCAGAGCTTTTCGATTTGTCCTCGCCCGAGTTTATCAAGGGCGCCCTCGAGGGCGCGAAGTTATTCGCGCTTCGCGGTCCTCGTGCCTTCTCCCCCTCCTCCTCGTCCTCCTTTTCTCCCTTTGAGGGGGCGGCGCGAGAGCGCGAAGTTATTCGCGCAGCGCGAAGCGCGAAGTTGGGAGCCCTTATTTACCCTCGTCCTGGCTTCGTCTTAGTTTGGGTATCCTTCGCACTGCTCCTCCTGCTCCTCTCCCTGCTGCTGCTCCCGAGCGCAAGCGCAGGGCCGAGCGGAGCGCGAGCAGCTGCGGCTAGCTGCTGACGCTGCCACCAGGTGGGGCTCTTGGACGAGGCCGCCCGCTCGCCCGATCCTGCGGCCGTCGCTCCGTCAAGCTGTCGGCAAGACCCTGATCTCCGGCGAGCTGTGTTCTGTCAATCTGTCTTTTTTTTTTTCGATTTCGGCCTTTGGGGCCCGTCATCGGGCCCCGGGGCTATCGAACATGGATCCGGACTGCAGGCGGCCAGGGCCTTCCTGCTCTTCCAGCGGCAAAGAAGGCGATCACCACTGCATTCACTTCAGGTACTGTCCACGCCTCATCGCCTGCATCGGGAGCGACCGACTTACTTGAACAGCATGATCGATCCCCCCCCCCGAACCTCCAGGGTGGTAGCGCGGATGCTCTGGCACTCGCTTGTCCTAAGCACGGATCTTTGGCGGGGCCCAGGCCTCAGAGGTGTTCGGCTCGGGAGGCGAACGATTTCAATTGACATGGGTGGGTGGGTATCGGTGGGTGGGTCTACGCGGGCATCGCCACCGACGACTTCGACATCGTGAGCTCCAGCCAGCTGGAAATTACAAGCCCCGCAGTAGTAGCCAAATGCTTCTTCTCTACTTCTACCGTGACGAGCAACGATGTTCATGGCGGCATTCTTCCCACGAGCTCCAACAGTCTGAGTGAGAGCGAACGGTCGAGCGAGCAGGACAGGAACCACCCGACTCAACTTACCCCTGCGCTGTTGCTTGCCCACTCGCCCAGAGCTGGCTCGCCCATTTTCCAACCAGCTACTCCAGATTTCGTAATCTCAGGGAGGGGGAGGGGGATGGGGGATGATGCTGATGATGATGCTGATGATGATGCTGATGCTGATGCTGATGCTGATGCTGATGCTGCTGATGATGATGATGCTGATGATGATGATGATGATGGCGATGCTGATGATGATGAAGATGGTGGTGGTGGTGGTGATGATGCTGCTGATGATGATGATGGTGATGGTGATGGTGATGGTGATGGTGATGATGATGATGCTGATGCTGATGATGATGATGATGATGCTGATGATGATGATGGTGGTGGTGATGATGCTGATGATGCTGATGATGATGATGATGATGATGATGATGATGATGATGATGATGATGATGATGATGAGCGAGCCTCAAGAGGAGCGGTGCCGTCCCCTCACATGCCCGCGCGTCACATGCCCCACGCGCGGCGGCTCTCACGCCAGCGTGCGCCGGCGCCCTGGAGGAGGAGGAGGAGGAGGAGGAGGAGGAGGAGGAGGAGATGGAGGAGGAGATGGAGGAGATGGAGGAGGAGGAGGAGGAGGAGGAGGAGGAGGAGGAGGAGGAGGTCCGTAGCCATTTTGGCTCAAGTTCAAACCGCTCGGCCCTGGCGGCTTGAGCTTGTTCGCAGCCAAGGGGCTGGCTCGATTGCCCCCAGCGATTTCGGCATCCCTTCTCCCTGGACTCCTCGCTCACGCCCCACTTCTTTGTCCACCAGCGGCGCGCGCCATGAGTGGCCAGCATGGCTCAGCCGCCTCATCGGAGACCCAACTTGCTACGCCACGCAGCGAGCAGGAGGCGCCCCCAGCGAATATTGCCAGAGCTGGTGGCGATGACAACAATGAGATTCGTGCTTATGTTGATCGGACTCGGTCAGAGCTGTTCGGCGCCTTGGACGGCGTCAAGAGGAGCCTGTCTGGCATCACGGAGAACCTGGACAAGCACTTCTACGGGCTCAACCAGCAGCTGGAGCAGCGATTCGCCAGAGTGGAATCGCGAGTCGACAATCACCAGAAGTCCATCACTGACATGCAGGCCGAGATCGCCGAGATGCGCCTGCTCCTCAATTGTGTCAAGACGGAGGCCCCGACCTCCTCGACACCTGTCCCGCAAGCATCCCACAGAACAACGAATCCGAGCATCATCGTGGTTCGGGCCCAGGCGCTCGTCTCGACGGCGAAAGTCTCGGAGTGCATCGGTCCGTGGCTCGCCGACTGCAACCTCGACGTGGACGACTGGGAGGTCTCTTCTTTGGAGGGCCTTGCGGCGCGCCGCTTCTCGGTCACCATCAGAGGCGCCGCTGGCTACGCGGCCAGGAAGGTCGCCCAGTGCCTCGGCAACCTCAGGAACCACGACAACACGTACAGGAGGTTCAACACGGTTGACGTCGCAGGACAGCAAATCCAACTGTTCGTGTCGGGCGACAAGAACACGTTCCAGATCAAGAGAGAGCTATTCATCAAGCAGGCTCGCAAACTCCTCACGGAGAAGTACGAGCACAAGCGTTTTTCTTCACGGATCGCGGCAAGGGCGAGATCTCCTGCCAGTGGCGACCCATCCTGCGGATCACGCCTGTCGACGGGGAGGCCCCGACGATCGAGTGGGACCGCACCGTGTGCAGCGAGCTGGGCATCGACAACGATGGCATCGGCGCGCAGCTCAAGACTCTGTTCAGCGGTCCTGAGGCTCAGTGGAGCTCCTAGCGGACTGTTCAGCTTTTTCCCGTCTTCCCCTTCTCAGGACATGATCATTAAGTTCAGTACTTGGAATGCCCGCTCTCTCTTCCACCATGACCCCAAGACCCGCTCCCGCAAGCAGGCCTACCTCCGCCCCCTCCTTCGAGGCTTCCAGTTTGTCGCCATCCAGGAGACCCGCGGTTCTTCAGAGGACCTCCAGGATTTCCTGCACTTCAGCAATCACAGATATGAAGCGGTCTTCTCGGGCTTCGACTCCAGGCGTAACGGAGGTGTGGCCACTCTACTCCCTTTCCCGTGCTCCTCTTTCGGCTTCGGCGCTTCGTCTAGCGTCGCAGGCAGCGCTCTGGTGGTGGGCAGAGCTCTCTACACCTGCGTCAAGCTAGGCTCGCGGTCTAGTGGGTGCTCGGAGGATTTCACCATCCACCACTTTAACATCCACGACTTCAAGCTATCTTCGGAAGAGATCGGACTCATCGTGTCATGTATCGACTCCTCTTTGGAACTTGCCCGATGCTATCCTCATTCGCACTTCGTGGTGGTGGCTGGTGATTTCAACTTCTCGAGCGAGCCGCCGCGCCCGACCATCCCGCCCCCGAACTTTGCCCCTGCGCCGGTGGTGCAGGAGTGGCATGCATCGCGAGACCCTGGCTGGAGGTCTACCTTGGGAGCCATGATTGAGATCGATACCCCCGATATGACACACTACAATGGTACGTTCGACCACGCTTCCAAAATCGGCAGGATTTTCTTCTCGGGTCCCAGTTGGAGGCTTACACAGATGTCGATCACGGCTGCCACGATAGAGACGCCTGAAGCCCTCGAACAGCGAGGGATTTCAGATCACGCTGCGCTGCAAGCTGTGCTTCGCTTTCGCCCTCCTCCTGATCCTGACTCTCAACCAATCCCTAAATATCTCTTTCAGCATCCCCGATTCCGTGAATATGTTCTGGCCGCCTGGGATAATATCGACACGTCGTGCCTCTCCCCTCCGTTGGTCCTCCTGCAGTACAAAGAAGTTATTCGTGAAGGTGCCCGTCAGGCTCGTAACAGCTTCCTCAAAGGGAACCCCACGGACCCCAAACGCAAGATCCTCCTCCTCAGGGCCATCGCCAGGGCAGTTTGGAGACAAGACTTTCGGGGCGCTGGGAGGCTTCTACAGTGCGATCTTGGGAAGGAATTCTTGGACCTGGATCTCGCTATCCCGTCTCTCTCCATCCGCAAGCACGCCGAGTTTTTTGCACGCTCCTGGACTCTCTGCAGCTGGCTGACGCCGAAAGCGAGCAAGTTGCAACTCGTCGTAACATGACGGAGCTCAGCGCACCTGCGAAGTTGGCTAAGTCCAGGCGCCGACTTCGTGCGCTTGCCCGCCGTGCTCGTCCCTGGGCACCGTTCAACCGTCGGCTGCACCTCTCGGGGCTGAGGATTGGCCACATCACAACATCATCGGAGGCCGAGATTCGCGAGGGCATCTCTGATCACTGGAGGCAAGTTTTTGGGACCAAGTCTATCGATGTCGAGGCCGCCTCCGCCTATCTTGCTCGCTTCGCCCCCAAGATCACGCTCCCCGACCTGGGGCCCCCTCGCTCCTGGACTTCCAGGAAACGATCCAGAAATCATCGGGCTCCGCTCCTGGACCTGACCAAATTCCTTATGCGGCCTGGCGGGCTGCTCCGCACTCCGTGGAAATCCTGGACAGTGTATGCTGGTGGATCCTCGGGGGCAACCACATGCCGTTTGGCTTCAACGCCCTCTTGGGCATCTTCGTCCCGAAACCTGCTGATGATGACCCCTTCTGAAGAATGTATTCGCCCAGCCAGTGGACTCCGACCCCTCGGGCTTAAGAACACAGATAACAAGCTGATCACCTCGGTTGTATTTCGCCGTTTGTCTCTCGCTCTTCCCCGCAAACTTTGCGACATCCAGCGTGGGTTTGTTATGGGAAGGAACTTCGGCCAGAACGTCGTCGAGATCGACGGTTTTGCTCGTCTTTACTCTGCCGGCCCCTCAGCCGTCTCTCTCAAGCCGGCCCTCGTGAGCTACGACTTCGGCGCGGCATTCCCGAGTCTTTCTCACCAATGGATGCTCATGGTGTTGGAATCCTGTACACTACCATCCCCTTTCGTGTTCTTCGTGATGGAAATCTACCGCTGCATCACCTGCTACGGCATCAGCGCCGACGCCAGCTCCAAGCTCGTCGTGCTGTTCCAGATTCTCAGCGGCATCGCCCAGGGGTGCCCTGGGTCGGGCGCTCTCTTTGCTATCTCGGCAGATCCATTTCTTCAAGACATGCAGTTGGGTGTGGAAGGTCGCAAGTTGGAGATTGTCAGGGCATGTGCTGATGATGTTGGGGCAGCCATCCGTCGACTATCCGCGCTCGAGATTATGGCCCGTATCTTCAGAGTCGCTGCGAGGGTGGCGTCGCTCAAGCTCAAGTGCAGCAAGTGCGTCGTGGTTCCTCTGGCCTCCCGCTTCTCGCCCGCCATCGCTACTGAGTACGAGAACTGGATCGCGCAGAACATCCCTTCCTGGAGTGAATTCCCCGTGCGTGATCAATTGAAATACCTAGGCATCTGGCTTGGACCCTCAGTCACTACGGAGTCCTGGAGAGAGCCTTTCGCTAAATGGGTTGACCGCGGTTTCCAGCTTGCTATTCAGGGTGCTCCTGCTGGGACTGTCGCTCACTTATATAACTCCAGAGTGGCTAGCGTGCTGTCGTATGTTGCTCAGTTTCTCCCTCCTCCTTCGGACCTCCCCCACCTCGAAAGTGTCACTATTGCCCGCCTGCTTCGAATTCCGCGCTGCGCCCCCCCTCGGTCTGGCCGGCTGTCTTTGCACTCCTGGGGCGGCCCGCGATTCCACTGTTTGACGTCCACTTGTTGTTCCTCCCTCATTCGTGCTAGCAAATCTACCTTAAACGTCTGGCCAGCTGTGCTGACGGCGCTCAGAGAGGCCGCCGAGAGGCATAGAGACGAGGCTACGCTTGCGAACCTCCCCTTTTCCCTTCTGTATCCCGATTTCTGGAAACAGGCCTCGTTCGCTGAATTCCTGGCCGCCGCGTCTGAAGGATTCCCTCAGGACATTGGCTCGGGTCTCATCTCTTCGCCCCTTGCCGCGAGAAGGCGGGCGTCTGCTGCTGCTCTTGCTGCCCTCGACTCTCCCCGACAGAAGACCGAGGCCACTCCTGAAGGACAAACTTTCAAAATCCAGAGACTGCTCACCACTGGCATGCGAGAACACCTGCACCCTGCCTGCCTTGCGGAGGTATTCGCTCAGAGGTTGGCTAGTTGGCTCCCGATAGCGATTGTCGATGCCCGTGCGCTCCCCTGGTCTGACATCCAGACTACGGTTGCTGCGCTGCCGACAGCGAAAGCGCTTGCGGCTCTCAAATTCCTGATGCATAGCTGGCCCACAGCGGCCCGCTTTCAGCAAAACGAGCCCTGCCGAATGGGCTGTTGTGCCCCCGCAGCTGATACTCAAGAGCACTATTGGCGATGCCCCAGATTCCTCACCCATCTCTGCTCTGTTGTTGATCTCCCCTTCCTTGCCTCGTGTCCCATTGCCCGTCTGGGCATCCACCATCCGTCCCGCGTCTCTCTTTCTGTTCTCGCCGCTTCCACTTGGCTATGTCATACTATCCGAGCTTGCAGCCCTGAGCCCATCCCTAATTCAAAGGCCGCCGAAATCGCGATGACGGTTCGGTGGCAGATGCGGCGAGGCTAGACGAGCTCGAACTTCATTCCGAGGCACGTGCGAGGAGGAGGAGGAGGAGGAGGAGGAGGAGGAGGAGGAGGAGGAGCGGGAGGAGCGGGAGGAGCGGGAGGAGCGGGAGGAGCGGGAGGAGGGGGAGGAGGAGGAGGAGGAGGAGGAGGAGGAGGAGGAGGGTCACAACCCTCCCAGACGAGAAATTCCCGACCATCCACGAAAGGGTGGCCCTGCGCCCAGGCACCCCGAACCCGCCAAGACAGATCAAATGAGGCCCCCCCGAGTGTGATCCCCCGCCACTTTCTTATAGAACCCGGAGTAACCTTCACCTCTCTCAACTCTTGTGGGTGGCGATGCGTCAATTCGGGGAGGGATTGGGGCAGAGACCGCGCCGTTGGCCGCCCATGGCGACTGCTGGGGCGGCTGTGGTTCAACCAGCCGCAGCCGCCTCCGCCCGCACCTCCTTAGGCCTTGTCTAGCCACAACTTCGCTCTGCGCGCCCAGCGAACGTCATGCCTCGGGTGTCATGCGCCGCTGGCCGCCCGGAGCGCGGGGGCTGGGCGCCGCAGCTACCGCCAAGCCAGCGCTGGGGGCCGCCAGCCACCCGCGACGTTCGCCGCCCGCTGGGCGGCCCAGCAGCCGCCGCGCAGCGGGCGCGGAGGAGCGGGCGCCGGCGCTGGGCAGACACCCGAGGCCTGCACCGTCACGCCACGCTTGCGAACGTTCCCCACGCCTGCCACCCGCGCCACTCAGACCTTTCTTACACCGCGCACTTTTGCCTATCCTTTGTGCCGCTTTTGCCAACTTTGGACGGGGTGTGGGCTGGGGAGGAGAGAAGCTAGGTGTGCGGCCACCTCCGCCCGCCCGCCGACGAACCCCCAACCTCGCGCCAAAGCAAGGGCTACGGGCGGGCGGACGCGGGGGGGCCGACTGGACGCCTGCAACCGCCACCAACCATCGGGGTTGGACAGACCTCCTACCCTGATACGTCGATTAAGGAATTGGCCGTTTTCGGTTCGCGAGAGGGCGTCGCAGCCCTTATTTTTGCGGGTCCAGGTCCGTCGATTTCGGTCCCAGGCCGTTTTCACTAAGGGGAGGTCTACTAAAGGGAGGTTTGTCCACCGCCGAAGCCACCACTCTTGCCTCGCCAGCTTCAGCCTCCCACCTTCCGCCACCTACGCCTGCTTCCAGTCTCCTCTCGGCCGCCTCCCTGCCACCCACCGCCGCCGCTCGCGGCCACCGCTCAACGCCTCGCCCGCCGCCTCGCCCCGCTTCTCCCACTCCTCCCCCCTGAGGCAAGGAGGGAAGTCGCAGTGGTCGTCGCAGGCTGTGTTTTGCCGCCCCCCCCCCACCCCCCCTCGGCTGCTCCGCCCCCCTGAGGGTTCCTCCCCGCCCTCCTGGCCCCATGCTGCTTGTTTTCTATCCTTGCAGATATTTTAGTTTTCCTGGAGAGATCTTTGAGAGTTATAAGAGGGCTCTAGAGCAGAAGCCGGCGGAACAGGGTGGTTTGGCAGCTCTTTCCAGCGCTGGTCAAGGCTCCCCGCAGCAGGCTGTTTGAGTGTGTAGCGTGTTCCAGCAAGCGTTTCCCGATTCGTTCCCAATACGCGTGCCGGAAGCCTTTTCCGCAGCTTTTTCGAAGCTCCGTGAGCGCTCTTGCGAAGCTCCTCTTTCGAGCTCGGAAGATCCCCAGACATGTTTCCAGCGTCCTTGCAAGCGCTTCACCGAGGCGTTTTACTCGCTTTGGTCTGCGTTGCTATCCAGGTTTGGGACGCCACAAGTGACCCCCCCCGGGGCAAGGCAATAGCCCCCGGAGAAGGGATGGCAGCGTCGTTCGGCTCCAGCGCCAGCAGCGACAGCGACAGGGGGTCAAGGGGAGGAGAGGGGGGTAGGGCGGGATGACTTTGAGGCGAGGCCAGGAAATGGAAACGAAAAACAGGCAGGGGAAGGGGGGGAGGGGGCAGAGGAGGCACAGGAAGCGAAGGGAATGCGGGAAGAGGAGGGCGGATGAGGATCGGGAGGGCGACGATCCCGGGGCTGCCATCCCGCCCCCTCTCCAGAGGCGAGGCCACAGCCCCAAAGGGGGGGGGGGGGGGGGGGGGGGGGGGAGTGGATGGCAGCCCCGGTAGAGGGTGGCGGGGAGCCCCCCCCCCCTCGCCGCGGCACCCGAGACAGGTTGCGGCCCGCGGGCGGCACCTGCGCGCGGCCAGCCCGCCCCCTTGGCGTCGGCGGAGGAGTGCCTCGGGAGAGAGACGCACACAGCGGAAGGGGGGCGCCGAAGTGCCTGTGCTGCCACTCGCGGAGGGGAGGGGGAGGAGGAGGAGGGGGAGGGAGGAGGAGGGGGAGGGAGGAGGGACGGAGGGAGGGAGGAGGAGGAGGAGGAGGAGGAGGAGGAGGAGGAGGAGGAGTTGTTTGGTGTTGTCTTTCACGGGGTGGCGATCCTCGCCCTAGAGAAGGCTGCATGCCCAGGCCCGCTGGCTGATTTGCATCTAGATAGCCAGGTCGAGGTGGGCCGGCAGAGTTTTGTTGAGGATGTTTTGAGCGATATGCTGGTGTTGCATAGTTGTTTGAGAATGTCTCTGGCGAATCGCTTGTTTGGAGAGTTTGACGATGTCTTTATCGAAACGTTCATTCTGCAGAACATATTGCGGACGATTCGAGCGAAACGCTTTTTGAAGAGTTTGCGGAATCTGGACGCCCCAGGTTGCTGCACCCATCAGATCCTTATAATTGTCACATTGTGGAGGGCCCCACGCGCGGGGTTAACGTTTGCAAGGGATCTTGGCCTGGGGAGCATGGGCGCAACCTCACTTTCAACAGCAGTTGTCCGAGGAGCGCGGGCGCAGCGTAGGCCACGAGGGATCGTGGCCCTGGGAGCACAGGCGCAGCGTAATCTGCCCTGGATCGTGGCCCTTGGATCACGGATGCATAATCGATGAGGGATCATGACCTTGGGAGCGCGCACATAGCGTATAGGGATCGTGGCCTTGGGAGCGCAAGCAGGGTGAGTCGTCCTCTTGGCACGTCCCCCGGCACGCTCCGTTGCGTTCCCTGATGTGTCCCTTGGCGCTCCCATTGTCACGCGTCCACTGTCACGTCCCCTGACACGGCCACACAGAGCCGGATGAGACGTCTCTTGGCTAGTCCCCTGGCCTGTTCCGTGGCACGTTCCCTGGCGCGTCCCTTGGCACGTTCCCTGGCTTGCGCGTCCCACGGCACTGTTGCGGCGCGTCCCCAGACACGTTCCGTGGCGTTCCTTGATGTGTCCTCTGGCGCTTCCATTGGCACGCGTCCACTGTCACGTCCCCTGACACGGCCACACAGAGCAGGGTGAGACGTCTCTTGGCTAGTTCCCTGGCCTGTTCCGTGGCACGTCCCCTGGCGCGTCCCTTGGCACGTTCCCTGGCTTGCGCGTCCCACGGCACCGATGCGGCGTTTCCCCCAACACGTTCCGTGTCGTTCCTTGATGTGTTCTCTGGCGCTTCCATTGGCACGCGTCCATTGCCACGTCCCCTGACACGGCCACGCAGAGCAAGGTGAGACGTCTTTTGGCTAGTCCCCTGGCCTGTTCCGTGACACGTCCCCTGGCGCGTCCCTTGGCACGTTCCCTGGCTTGCGCGTCCCACGGCACCGTTGCGGCACTTCTCCCGGCACGTTTCGTGGCGTTCCCTGATGTGTCCTCTGGCGCTTCCATTGGCACGCGTCCACTGTCACGTCCCCTGACAAGGCCACACAGAGCCGGGTGAGAAGTCTCTTGGCTAGTCCCCTGGCCTGTTCCCTGGCACGTCCCCTGGCGCGTCCCTTGGCACGTTCCCTGGCTTGCGCATCCCACGGCACCGTTGCGGCACGTCCCCCGGCACGTTCCGTGGCGTTCCTTGATGTGTCCCCTGGCGCTTCCATTGGCACGCGTCCATTGTCACGTCCCCTGACACGGCCACACAGAGAAGGGTGAGACGTCTCTTGGCTAGCCCCCTGGCCTGTTCCGTGGCACGTCCCCTGGCGCGTCCCTTGGCACGTTCCTTGGCTTGCGCGTCCCACGGCACCGTTGCGGCACGTCCGCCGGCA